AAATTAACTACACACTTCCTCGGTAGTAAGTAGTCCAACCCTAATATGCATTGGTCTTCAATGTCAGCCAAGTATACTTTGTGTCTGTACTTCATGCCTATGAGCTCAGTAGTTACCCATGCTGGTCCGCACAACCTTGTATAATGTCCTGTCACACCACAGACCTTCTGTTTGGCTTCTGGTACTCCTTTGTGATTTAACACCTTGATACTCACAAGGGTTTGCTGAGATACAGAATCTATGACAAAGTTGCACTTTTGGCCATCCAACTTTCCTGTCACATAGACACTATGTGTGCTTGCCATTTTACAGCTAGCTGTTGAGACTTTCACGATGGGGGTTGGTGGGTGTCCCTCAGGCACGAACCACTACTAGTTTCCCCGAGAAGGACTTATTGGTAGTATTCTTCTTACACTGACTCCTCATATGTCCTTGCTCTCCACAGTTCCAACAACCTTTCTGGGTAGCAGCCTTTCCTGCCGTGGCATCTTCCCTGTGTTGAAGTTTCTTGTATTGAGCCCTTCTTGTGTTGAAATTGCAAGCATCGAACTCTTATGTGCCCAGGTTTGTTACAGTGCCAGTAAAGCCCCTCAAACCTCTCTGAAAGCTGACCTTTTATGGCCTTGAATCTTGATGACTGTACCAACCTTGGTACCTCTGTGCTGGATTTAACGTAGGATTCAAATTCAAGAGCTCTGGCCATTGCATCCTTCATAGTAGAGGGGGTGTGCTTGCTTTACTTGTATCTTCAGTTGTGGAATGTCCAAGGCATCTACAAACTGATCCCTCAGCAATAGCTTGAGGACATTGGATGGTGCAGTTAGGTAGGCTTTGTGTGCCATACCTTCCAAATCCTGTGCCAGCTCTTGCAAGCTCTCCCCTTTAGCACGGACTCTAGTCCTAAACCTAGCCCTGTAGACTTCGGACTGATTTTGAGTTCCGTACCTGAGTTTTAGAGCAGCTACCAGTGCTCTATAGCTGTGCCTGTGCAGGGTTTGGAAGGGGCTTCCTGTTGTCTGGGGCTGATTAGGTCCATTGTTAATATATCCTTTGTAAAAGACAGTAAATCGTCCTTTAATGTATTTAATTCACTTTGAAATTTACTAATGTTTTCCATTTGTACTTTTTGCCATTGTTGTTGACTTTCCTGTAGTTGCTGCCGACTTTCCCGCAACTGTTGGAGACTTTCTTCCTGTTTCCTTTCTTGTTCCAGTTGCCACTGCTGTAGTCTTTCTGCTTGTTTATTTTCTTGTTCTTCTTGTTTCTTTTCTTTTTCCTCCAACAACTGCTGTAGTCTTTCTGCTTGTTTATTTTCTTGTTCTTCTTGTTTCTTTTCTTTTTCCTCCAATAACTGCTGTAATATCTTTTCTTGTTTCTTTTCTCGTTCTTCTTGTTTCTTTTCTTTTTCCTCTAACAACTGCTGTAACTTCTATTCTTGTTTCTTTTCTCGTTCTTCTTGTTTCTTTTGCTGTTCTTGTATTGCTGCCATCAAATCTACTAAGTCGTAGTTTGATTTGCCACTTCTCGTTTCCATGTTTTTTCCTTTTTCCATCCCACTTCTGACACCAATTTGTTACGTATCTGCTCGTTTGTTAATTTCCGGTATAAATTATATTCGAGGAACTTCAGCGATACAAGTCATTTCTTAATTAAAACTAGTTTATTCTTTCTTGATACAACGTTTTAGTACATAGAATTTCCACAGTCAATACGTTTGCAATCTCGATAACAAAACACACACTTTATATTACCGTCACTACCGCTCGCTTGACTCAATTATCTGTCTCTGTATCTATCTATCTGCCATTGTTTCTCCGCTTTATTTGCCGGGCTTATATACTAAAAAAGAGGGCGCCTGAAACAGACTAGAGTTGCCAGGAAAAGTCATGATCCTTCTAGAGACTCCAGCGCGCATGCTCCCAGCGTCGTGTGACTTCCGCTGTCGTAACAATATTTTAAATTACTTGAGAAACATGAAATCAATACACCCACTAGTTGTGGAAGTATCTTCTTCCTACTGAAGTACCACAGCAACATAAGTTATAGATTCAAATGCTCCACCATATTTAGAATAAATCTTTTTAATCTCGCTCTAAGCTATTTTTTTTGTATTTACAACAGTATAATTGGGTATAAGAATAGGCCCTGCATGGCCCGGTGGTTATAGCTATCAACTCACAATTTACGGATGGTGGTTTTGAATCTCCGTCACCGAACATGCTCGCTCTTTAGGACTGTTGCTGGGACCAGTCATCCGAGTGTAAAAATTCTTGGCTAATGCAAATTACCCGAGCGGCCGACTTCAAATATAGATGGGATTAAGGTCGAATGAAGAAGAATTGAGTATAACAATACATCCGTGTAGTCTTAATAAAGTATAATGATATTGAATTATCTTTTTTTTTTAGTCCTATTTAGTTAGTGATTGGATTGGTTCTACTTTTATAACGCACCTACAGCTAAAAGTGCAAGAAATCATTTGTGGTATCTCTGGCTCCCAAATCCAGAGCTCGAACACGGGGCCAATCTGTGCCGTATTTAAACAGATTAAATTGAACTTAATATTATATGTATTACTTTCAGACAACAAATAATTTAAGTGAATCACCTTAACAGTAAAAAGTTAATTTTCAGACAATAAAAGCAACATATTACCTGTATAAAACACAAAAGTAAAGCAAATGTTCCCAACATTAACGTTTCAGTACTGTTGATTTATGTGTTGTACTGGACTGGTGATACCCGTATATTCGATAAAAATATTTTAAACGTGAGTCTTCAGGCATATTGGTACATCCTAAGTCATTTATATGTGCTTATATCGTTTCTGTTCTAATAATACAAAAATCGTACTGAAAACGCGTTTTAACAATACAAAAGTCGTACTGAAAACACATTTCAATAATACAAAAGTCGCACTGAAAACACGTTTTAACAATACAAAAGTCGTACTGAAAGAGTTAAACCAATATTTCGAACTTAGCTCTCGAAATACGAAAACACAGAGGGAAAAAAATACAGGTAAACATTTGTTGTCGCGAAAATATTTAACCTCGTATGCAGGCCAATCAGAATTTGAGTAACTACAAGACATCTCTTTACATTATTCCACTCACAAAAATATTTAATCTCGTTAGCAGGCCAATTAAAATATGAATACCTACAAGATATCCCTATACCTTATGACACGCACATTGGGGTTGCGAACCCTAAGAATTACTCTTTTTTTTTTCATTAAGCATAATGGGCTATGTGTGCTCTGCCCACCGCAGGTATTGAAACTCGAAGTTTAGCATTGTAAGCTCAGCTGTCAGACTAGTCGCTGGAGGTGGTGGTGGAGCTAATAAATTATTTAATGCAAACTACAACTCAATGAGTCAATAACCACAAAGATCATTTTATATATATATATATAACAGTACTGTAGTTGAATGTCCATGCAACTACTTCGCAGGGTGTTGATGGATCTTCACCAAAAGTGGTATGGAGGTTCATTGCGACTGTACACACAAATTTTCAGTTTTGAATTTTGCGTTTTTTACCACTACTTCGCCCCCTTTCGATATACCTTCACCAAATTTGGAATTTGGTAAGGGAGTTCACTGAGTCCATGGGAAAATACATACACATTTTCAGTTTTACATTTTGCGTTTTTTTTTATGGGCGTTGTTGCGTTCTTTACCACTACTTTGCCGCCCCCCCCCACCCTCTTGATGGATTTTCACCAAAGTTGGCGTGAAGGTTTGTTGGATACATGCAAATTTGCGCTTTCACATTTTGTATTTTGTAGGGTTTTTTTGTTGTTTTTTTACAATTACATATAAGGGAAGCAACTTTTTATGTCCTAAGATAACCTTTCATTAATCATGAATTTACATAACTTCCGTCCAGGGGAAGGGGTACTCCAGCTAGTTGTAAATATAACATTGAAATACTAAACGTCGCTACTTAAACTAAACAAATTGAAGATTTTTAATTTAATTTATTAACGGGCAAATATAAATAGAATAACAACACTTTAGCTAGAATATCAAAGTAGCTTGCTGGTTCCCCAGTTCTTCTGTATATATGATGAGCAGGCTAAAACTGACAGTAGTAAAAATTCTTACACTAATTCTGATGTGTTGTGACATAAACAAAATTTTATTACAAATTACACTTCACCAACTACATAAAGTTCACACCGTAACAGTTGTCAAGCAATTTGCTAATATAAATCGTGTCTCAACCACTGCTATGTTTTTCGTATCCCAGCCAGCCAGAAGAACCTTGGCATTAGACGAAACGTCTCGTCCAAGCAGATTTCGTGTTGTTAACATATCATTATCCACTCTTCTTTACTTTTACTTAGAAGTTCTTAATGATAAGTTATACTGGTGATGAAAAAAAAGAACTTTAGCTTCAATATTACACTACTTAATACCCCCCCCCCCCTCCCAGTGGCACAGCTAGAATCCGGGTTTCAATACCCGTGGTGGGCAGAGCGCCGGGAAATAGACAATTGTGTAGCTTTGTATTTCATTACAAACAAACTTATTATACTGGTGGTAAAAAAAAAGATCTGATAAAAAAAAACAATGAAACAAACCAGTAGCTGCATGGATATTGCGATATATTGAAATTAGATAAGGGTGAAATATCCGAACCAAAATATCAGAGAATTGAAATTGCTCTTAGATAGATTAGTCCTTCAAGACTTCTTGCCAATGACTTTCGTGATAACTAAAATAAAAATCTCAGGTCAGTCATTCGCTTCATTTCTGGCTTGTATATTGGTGTAGCCAACTGAAAGTTTTATTTGTCCGAGAACTGTTGTGACTAACATTTCTAATACCGGTGTCTATTGTTGCAAACGCAACATTGTTGTATTTTATATTTTATTATTGAAACCCTGGCAACAAAAGAATGGGTGATTTGAATAAATTAAAGTCGTGGGGAAAAAAATTGAAGTAAGTATATACAGTGTGTTGAAATATCCTTATTTCTGGTCAAATTCAAGAATGGAAAATTTAGTCCTAGCTTTAGGTCCTGGTGTACATAACTATCAACCATTTTGGCAAAGCTGTTCAGAATTAGAAGATCTGTACAATCCACCAAACCTCCAAACGCTATGCAAAGCGAAAATTATTAGACACGTCTCGTTAAGAAGACTGAAGCTCTTTGAAAGTACACCACACTTACCAAAATTACTAGTGAAATATCTATTCAACCTCACCACCAATGACTTCGAAGGTATTGAATGCGCTCCTTTTATTGACACATTTAACCTAACTTTCTACCACCGAGCCTTAACATATCGTGTCAGGTGTCAGCTAGATGATCAAATATATCTGGCTACTTACGGTAATGGCGCCCATCATTCTCGTGACAGCTGTGAGCAGAGTCGACGAAGTTGGGTTAAAATACGCCATCGACATATTATGTGTGTTTATGCAGAGGTTACGGACGAATCAACGGGTAATGATTTTTATCTCTTGGACATCCCACAGACTACTCTTGAGCACGTGCATGCTCTTATGTTTAGCTGTGGCTTGACCATCCCTGAAAGTCAGTTGTGGGAATTGGCTTACCAACTAAGTTCGGCGTTACTTCACATGTTGTCACATGGACTCCACTATGGGCCATTTGGTCTAGACAATATTTTTATGATTGGAAACACTATTGCATTAGAAAACGGACTGACCAGGAAGTCTCGGATTGAGTCTTTACGAGATTCTGTTTGTCGACAGAATTACAACAGCGCATGTCAGAGACTTAGGAAAGGGGTCAAAAAGGTAAAACCAAGCTCTAAAAAGGATGTATCTAACTTTATTAATGAAGCATCGGAAACAAAAGCAGTGTGGTACATTGGATACATTCTTTGTAAACTGGCAACTACAAGTTTCGGAAATGCCCCTTTTCTGCGTCCTTCGGCCTTGCCTCACCATGGTTACTTGTTTCCACAGAGTTTCCTGTCAGGAGAGCTCCGTAACTTGTATTCAGCAGAACTGAGACAACTGATAATGAGCACGCAATTTCCAAATTCTCTAAAGAAACCAACACTGGAAGCAATCAACATTCTGGCCCATACAATGCTCCACAAGTTCAGTCCAAAATCACTTCAGGCATCAGAATGTCATTTTCTCGACTGGCTCCTGAACTCCATCCCCTGACCTTATATTAAATTGCTATTAGTTGAAATGCAATAATATATTAAGCTACAAAATAATATGTAAAATTATTTTACCTACAAATAATTGGATAACCAAAATCGGAAACTACAAAATTGTTACTATTTCTTCTGTTTAATATCGTGAAATAAAAGTGATTATTGATGGAGCTTTTTATTTTTAATTCATCTTTTTTTGTCATCACATGTACATGATATATTTTTAAGAAGATTATTCAAAATTGTTAATTTTATAAAAGGGGAAATAGGGAGCTTCAAAAATTACAGAAACATGATAGGTAGATTAAAGTGAAAATGCAATCGATAAAACAGTAAACAAACAAGCTTAAGATTTTAGAAATAGTGTTTACATTATGCCCTCAAGCTACAAATCCCTATTTTGACTTTCCTAAATATTCCACTTTTAGACATGGTGTCAAATAGGGATTTGTAGCTTGAGGAAATAATGTCAAGACTATGTCTCAAACTTGTATAATATGTCTTGTATAATAGCAATACTGTCCTATTTGAAACAGTTTAGTTTAATGAAATACGTATTCATATACATTTTGGTGATTGCATTTTCACTTTAAACTACCTATATTGTTTCTGTATTTTTAAGATCTCTATTCCCGTTTTTTTAAATCAAAATTTTTTAATAATATTTTAATATAATGGTTGAACAACAAACCATCTGCTTGATTAAATTCTTTGTCTGAGAGTGAGCATCAACAAGTTTTAGAAAAGGCAAGAAAATCCACAACAATGAGGAAATATGCTGAAAGAAAGGAGAAAGTAATGGAAAAAGGATAGAGTTATTAAAACCAAACCAATTGCAAAAAGAAGAGAAGGAGAAACGGTCCATCCAATCAAAAACACGCTTGACAAGTAAAATTGCAGCACTTGGAGGTATCTGAAAGAAGTTCTGAAAATAAGTGAAATTCAACCAGAAATAAGTAGTCCACCTGGATCCCACCTACAATACAAAGCATCTGAAGATGTTGCAGAGGAGATGAAAAACGTGAAGAAGAGCTTAGTAACTGCAAAAAGGAATCAAAATCAACGATTAATAATTTCACAACAACAAAGTTACCTTGGTCGCCTTTTGAAAGATCTTGAATTGCTTGTTGGAAAAAAATTGAGCACTTGTGCAGAGACCCAGACACTGAATCACAAGAGTAGTTTCTAGGAACCGTTCTTTCTATTTCTAAAAGACATGAAACTGTAACAAGGACAACATACAGAATCAAGTACGATGAACTTGAAGAAACGTACGAATTTCCCTTAATTATTGACTTGAAGAAGATTGAGCTCATAATTTCGTCAGGATTGTGATAGAAGACATCTGACAGCATTTTCCAATTATGTAAGTACTCCTTTCCTTTCTTCTAAAAACTACTAACATGTTAATTGTGTTTATTAGGTTCGTATAGTTCTATCACTATTAGAAATCAAGACTCAGAACAAATTCTTTTAAATGAAATATTCACTCCAACGTAATCACTATGCCGAAATAATTTGTTTGTGTGTGTGTTGTTTTGTGTGGTTGTCTAATTAACTGCAACTTTTACCATAGGTATATCCTCCATAACAAGGCACCTGCACCTGTCGTCAAAACCTGGGACTGACTCTGCCAAGTATGTATAATTATTGAAGAATATTTTAAAGACATTTGTATGATTATAAAAGTTTTAAAAAATAGCTAACATTACCAGTTCGACACAGAGAGTTGGAGTATAAACTGCATTTACTACCTTGCTCTCTTTTACCATAGGTATATCCTCCACGACAAGACACCTGCACCAAGAAGAACACGTGCGTCAGGTACTGGATAGAAAACCAACTGGGACACAATAGTGGTAAGTACAACTGCTGTCCCTTCATGCATTAAAACAGGTCATCGTTTTTTGTTTTTTTTGTGACAGTTATCTGATTCATGGTTCTCCATCATCGACGTAGGTACTTTCACTAAGATAGGGCACTTGCCTAAGGAACTAGATAGAACACCATTTTGGACACTTGTCTGAAGAATGGGACTCAATAATGGTGAGTACAACTGCTGTCCCTTCATGTATTAAAACAGGTCATCGTTTTTTTTGTGACGGTTATCTGATTCATGGTTCTCCATCATCGACGTAGGTACTTTCACTAAGATAGGGCACTTGCCTAAGGAACTAGATAGAACACCATGTTGGACACTTGTCTGAAGAATGGGACTCAATAATGGTGAGTACAACTGCTGTCCCTTCATGTATTAGAACAGGTCATCGTTTTTTTTTATCACGGTTATCTGATTCATGGTTCTAATTTATCGAGGTAGGCTCGTCCACAAAGATATTTTATATTGATAAGGCGCCTCATTCACTCAGTCTTTAACTCGAGAACTGGCGCAAAGTCTGTGAAGTGTGATTCATTGATTCACCACGTTGGCATACTTCTTTACTTGTATGAAATTCTGTAAAATAACATTAAGAGTAATTACTGTTGCGTCATTCTTTGAAAATAGTTATTTTTTCCCCTTAAATTAAAAGCTTTATGGGCTACACAATATAAAGTGAAGTTATAATTGTACTCTACAAAATTTTGGCGCGTTCTTGTCACGTCATTGCATGTGGCACTTAGAAGTTAGATTCGAATAATCTTTACTGCCTCCCTCTTTTTTTAATCAACGTATGACGCAGCCTAGTCACTATAAGGGATGGTTTTATAATTTCATTCTAATTTTACATTAATAAGATCATGTTATTACTTTCTTTGTTTTGATAGGACACATCTCTGAGATCGAAGATCTAAAGTTAGAGTCCGACAAAGACAGGAAATTTTTGCTTAGGACTCGGCAAAACACAACAGTAAAGACAGACGGACACGGTTTAAAATAAATTAATATTTGTTACATAATGTGACTTTAACTTGTAAGTGTAATGTATGTAAATGAAATTATTTGTAATATACTCATAAGAAAAGATTAAACTAATTTTGAGCTTTGAAAATAATTTTGTTTGTTTTTAGTTAAGCACATAGCTACACAATGGGCTTTCTTTTCTCTGTCCACCAGAGATATCGAACCTTGGTTTTTAGCGTTGTAAGTCCTCAGACATGCCGCTGTGCTACAGGATGGCATTTGAAAATATAGATCAAATTGTTTTTCTTGTGATATTTTATTACGATTTACAGTTTAAACTGGTAGAATTTAAAGACATTATCACAAGTTCATAATTCACAGGCCCAAACATTAAAAAAAATATTTTATATATATATATTCACAAACAAATATTTAGTAATCACACTTAAATAAACAATCTGATTTATTTTATTTTATTTTTTGTATGAAAGACTATATTTACTGAAAGCTTACAAAATTCTCGAAGATACACATCTCAGATAAAAAGTTCTGGTATCGAATATGTAAAGATTTCTTCCTTATGATTATGTGCTTTGGGGTTCTGCAAATTTTGGACGTGTGAAGCGGCTCCGCTGAGATCTCACCAGAATTGGGATTATTTTTTATTACGTTAAGTACATGCTCACGCAAACAAGTGTGTTCGTTGGCTAAAACGTTTTTTAGTGGGACGTTCAAATTCGAGCAAATTCCATTGTGTGAATGTAAGATATATTACCACAGATAGCACAATTACTCTTACTACCACAAACACCACAGAACACAAAAACCAATCAAACATAAGACTACACACATATACAACTTGAAAACATAAAACGAACATGGCCCTGAAAAGGAAAGTGATAATAGAATTCAACAAACCAAACCAGCCACCCAAAACCCAAACCCAAGAAGATAGTAAAATATAATAGCAGTACAGTAGGGAGGAAGAGGTCTACTAGAACCTGACCCTCCCAGGTCGTAAAGACCTAAATCCCGATCCGGAGAGAGAAAGAGAGAGAGTGAATGTAAGATGGAGGATCACGCTTAGTAATTTTTGCTGACTTTAAATTTAAACATATTTTTTATTTTCGAGTGCCATTTAATATTTGTAGGAGAAATCTCTATTCTAGGAGTCGGTATTTCATTTGGTAAGTGTTTTTTCCCTTTTTATTATTAAGTATTTAAAAAAAAGGTGTAAACCTTTACTATTTACTGAGTAAATAGGCACAAAAGTAAAAGTCTCTACGTTATATTCACCATTGACTTTAATAACAGCAAAAAATGATTAAATACAAAATGTGATTCCTTTCCAGCAAACTCTGATAGTTTTGAAACATTATCTTATAGTTGATTAAACTTAGGCCTAATTGTAATATCTCTTCCAGTGTAATAATTATGTAAAGTAATTCTACACCAAAACTTACACAGTAAATATGTTTTTGAATTATACTATTTGTAGATTTTTAATTTCATTAATGAAGATATAGTTACCTTTAATAACGTACTTGTTGTGAGGAAATTATTCTAAATAAAGTATTACAAAACTTGCTATTTCCTGATTATATAGCCCAATATAAGTTACCATAAGCCTAACTAGACACCCTTCTTTGTACACTTTGGGAACTCAGTATAGAATACCTGAATTAGTTCCCAATGGTGTTATGTTAAATATTTAATTATGTTATTTAACAACTGGTCCTTTATTGTAGCTTCAATTAATACACATACATACAAACCCTCATAGATGAGCAGTAACCTTTCCAAAGAATGTTAAAAGATTTGTAAGGCAAGATTTTCCCTTAGTGAAACCATGTTGACTATCCAATA